TTTAGCTGTTGCTACTAGGGGCTCTGGTGGTGTAGTGCCTAAGGCACTTGACTGCTAACCAGAAGGCTGAGAGTTCAAACCCACCAGGCACTCCTCGGAAGGAAGGTTGGGCAATCTACTTCCATAGTGATACTGCCTCAGAAACCCAAGGAGGGGTCGCTATGAGTCGATGGCTATAAGTATTATAAAGATAATATTTAATAAAAGCAAAATGCAGGTTGGTGGGGGGTGGTCTGAGAACTCAAGGACCCAGACCCTCAGGCTACTGAAGTGCGTGGGGGTGGGGGCCAGGGGAGCGGTCGGGCAGGGGCCGGGCTGACCCCACCTGCGCCCCCCCAGGAGGCCTGGAGGCCGAGGATGCCCCACCCTCGGGCCTGCCACTGGACTTCATCCGCTTCGCCCACCACTCCTACGCCCAGATGGTCCGTGTGCTGAGGCGGACGGCAGCCCAGTGCGCCCACATTGCCAAGACCTACAGCATCGGGCGCAGCTTCGATGGCAAGGACCTGCTGGTCATCGAGTTCTCGGGCCGCCCTGGCCAGCACGAGCTGAGTAAGCCTGGGCCCTGTTGGGTGTTTCCTACGGGCCCGCTCAGGTGGGGACAGGGCCAGATGGGGCCTTCGTGCCCTGGGGGCCGTGGCCGCACTCCAGGGGACACATGGCACCCTGCACACACAGGAAGGGACCGGCCGGACCGCCCTTTCCACTGCGACTTCGGGGGAAGCCAAGAGGCTCCATAGTCGTTGGAAAAGGGGTCCAAAGGGGCTGCAGGGGGTGGAGGGGATGGCAAATGACGCAGGGATTCGGGGCAGAGCACGGGGCGGGGGTCTCGGCTCCCGGGGGACAGCTGCGGGAGGGCCAGGGAGGGGCGGAGGAGACAGAGACCCATCCATCCCCGTGTGTCCACCCGTCCTCGACCCATCCATCTGTCCCCCTGTGTCATTCTATCCGTCCACCCATCTATACATACATCCCAGTGCCAGCTGCCCTCCCACCCAAGCTCCAGTCCGCACCCATCTTGTTACACAAAGATGAAGAGTGGCTGTTGGTGAAACTCACACGGACTGACTGCACCTGTGTGACTGTTAATTACTCCCCTTGACGGGTCAGGCTGATGCTCTTGGTCACACAGAGGTGAGCTCCGCCCAGGTGAAGATTTTGACGAGAGCCCCCTCTGTTTGAGCCCGCAGCGAGGGATCCGACCCCGCACCAGTGCCCACGCCTGTCGCAGGGGGCCCTTTGGGCTCCAGGGACTCCTGGGTTGTGAGCCTGGACCCATGCCCCTGGCTCTCTCCCCAGTGGAGCCTGAGGTGAAGCTCATTGGCAACATCCATGGCAACGAGGTGGCGGGCCGCGAGATGCTCATTTACCTGGCCCAGTACCTGTGCTCCGAGTACCTGCTGGGGAACCCGCGCGTCCAACGCCTGGTCAACACCACCCGCATTCACCTGCTGCCCTCCATGAACCCCGACGGCTACGAGGTGGCGGCCGCCGAGGTGAGCGTGCCCACCCCAGGCCTCGTGGCCGTTGCCACCTTTGGTCCTCATCACGCACTCACTAAGCGGGCCTGCAGGCCTATTGTGTGCCTGCAGGCCTACTGTGTGCCTGCAGGTGAGGTCCTGGCTCCGGTGGGGAGGGGACAGACAAGACAGGGAAGTCTTGTGTGGTGCATGCGAAGGTTATCTGTGGTACAGAGACGAATCAGGAGGAGAAAAGGCCTCCAGGGAGAGTTAAGTTAGATGGGCCCGGGGACTGGTCTGTGGGGGTGTCGGCAGCAGTGAGAAGTGAGCTGGCAGCTGTCAGGGCACTCCGGGCGAGGGGAGCTAGTGCCAGGGAGCAGGTGGTGGAGGTGGTGGTGGTCGAGGGCTAGCGAGGAGCTGCAGGGAGGGCTGAGAGCAAGGTGGAAGGGGTCAAGGGCAGCTGGTGCCCTCGGCCCAGCCAAGTTCATCCCAGCAAACCAGAGAGAAGGCTCAGGCGTCCCGGACACAGCCCAGCCTGCGACCTCCCTCTGGCAGGGGTCAGAGCAGCGTGCCCCGACCCTGAGTTGGGGGTGCGGTGGTTTTTCAGGGTGCTGGCTACAACGGGTGGACAAGCGGCAGGCAGAACGCACAGAACCTGGACCTGAACCGCAACTTCCCCGACCTGAC